GTGCCCGTCTCTCTGGTCGAGACTGCGAGTTAATGCCCCTTCTAACCGTAGAGACTCGGTATCCGCTTCTGCCATCCAGAGGCCTCCACCTTTCTGATCGGACCTTCGTGACACGTATGTCAAAATGGAGGTTATCCGTGGCCCCCAAAAAGACGTCATCAGCTTTGGCTGTCGAGTCACTGAAGTGTATGGACATCAAACCATCACATACTATGACTCATCAAACGCTGTACCACCGAGGTGGACGGTGCCCATGTAATATATGCGATAAAAAAATGCAATCCTCGATATCCGCGCACGTGGACATGGCGAAGTTCGCATTTGCGTTCACCCCGCATGGATCCGATTGACCATATCCGGGTCTGTTCCCGCCTAAGCACCAAAACCAAGCTGGTGTGATAATCCCCCTTTGTGACGAACTCTTGCCAGATTTCTTCATAGCAGGGTGCAAACAGGGACGTCCTTCTCGCCGACATCTAGCAGCAGTCTCGGAGCTGGTAATTTCGCGAGTCCGTGATATAACTTGGCGGAAACCTTCATATCTGCCGGCATGGCCCTCAATCATGTATAGAGACGAGGGTGCGAGATGGGGACCCCAGCTCTGGGAGGGCGAGAATGGTAGACATGTTCATCGCCCGAGTGCCGAGGCCGTAGATGTCAGAGTCGGGTAAGGGCATCATATGGCACACCGAGCTGTTCTAGTAATACGCCAGAGTCGACGAAGCGGACGACAGTGACGAAGCGGCAAGCGGCGAAGAAGGAAGCAAAAATGAGGATTGGAGTGTCGGCCCGGGGAGTGATGGTCTGAATCACGCTGACTTTGTGGCGGTCGGTTGCGTCGTATTGTTGGGGTTCTCGCGTGGTCTTCTCGATCAACGCGCGTTATTATTCGAAGATTGAAACGAAAGCCAAGTTGATTGCTGTTCAAGTGTGCTGATAGCGAAATGTAGGCGAAAAGACGCACTGGACATTGGGCTGATTTCTTGCCCTTAACTGTGCGACTGGCTCCATGGTTCACTGAATATTTACCATCATCGCCCTTGAGTTTTGTACCTCAATAATCCTGGTACCATCTTCCAACGATGGGCCCTGAGCTGTGTCCCTCGACTCAGATGAGACTCCGAGAGGTCAGCCAATAGAGTCGACACGCAATAGAGCGTCTGGCTCGGGAGAGATTGACTCAGCAAGGCAAATTTTGAGTCCATGTGAAACTAGTGCCAGTTTAGTGATGTCCGAGATGATAGTCGTGTCGAAGTCAAGTGCAAAGTGTGAGCCACTTGAAGTCACAACTAGTGACCATAACGGTCACAACCTTTCTCAACTCACACATCGACGACGTCGTCGGCTGCCTCAATATGCAAATTAATCGACGAGGGATGCTTTATCTCTTGTATGGGACACGCAAATAATGTCACCGTCGGTTGTGTATATGGCAGTATTATACTACCTAATATTCTGACTCATTTAATTTCTACATGCAACTACGAAATGGTGCTAAGGTGACCCACCGGGTCGATCAAGTATTGAACAAGTTTGGCAAATAATTATATGATACCTGACTGGTATGATCCTGTAGGTTCTTGCGTTGAGAAACGGAAAAATCGGGCGCCAAAATCATTCGTTTTACTGAAATGAAATGGTGAGTGAACTGCAATTGCCATCAGACGCTAAAATGAATCTTTGCGACCCACTAGCCTTTTAATAATATCGAGGGTTCCTCTTCAGTGCCTTCACATAGAATCTTGTCTTTGCAACACAATACCTCAACATCGTAAAGCTTCCAAAAATTTCACCGTCCAACCCTACAAGCATTCAACAACAAATGCCTGCATAACCGATACTCGCGTCTCGTACAGTTGAGAACTGCGTTCGTTCAATTGACCGGCACGTTACAACACCGAACGAGTGATGGCCGCATGAAAAAACCGACAAAAAAGGAAACATTGTGACAATAACAGCGTCAGACGCCGCCATCATGACCGCCGTCCCGCATCCTCTTCTGTCTACGAAATCGAAACTGTACCAGCGGGATACTTTCATTTTCTCAACGTCTTTACCAGCCAGGCTGCTTTTCGGTGAGGAAACCGTTATGAATTCATTCCCAAGACTGATTTGTTCCCAGGAGTAAACCAGCGCCGGATACCTATAAGCAGCGCCACGATACAGCGATGGGCATACCTCTTAGCTCCACACAGCGAGCCTTTCCACCTGCGTTCCGTAACGGTCCACCAATTCGGGATCATGGCCTACGCTATAACACCCAACGGTCCTCCCATCCCCGAGGATTCCTCAGAACCGCTTCCGCCTGGAAATTACGGCTGGTATGGAGCAGGTAAGGACTGCCCTTGCTATCCATGGCATCATACTATTACTAACACTCACTGGATACAGGCAGCACAACAAGATTCTTGCCCCAGATCACGACTATGCCTAATCCCCCTTCTTTTGCAGCCATGCAAAACAGCTGGACTTGGTTTCCTAATCAACAGATCATGGTATGTTTCTTCCCCATCCCTTATCCTAAGTACGAGCTCACATCCTCGCCATAGCTTGATGTGATACCTTCGGTAACGCAGGCGGTTAGGCAAAGAGACCAGCACCGATGTTTTATCACTGGAACTAATGATACCGATCTAGAATGGATGTTTCTGCCCTGTTTCGCTCATTTGGTAAGGTCAATAGTATCTGTATATGACTAGCTTGTGCTCATATTTCCAGTGTCGATTTCCTCCCTTAAAAGACAGTTACGATGATATACCAGAGTTCTTCGAAAAACCCTCCAATGCTGTGTTTCTTCACAAGGACCTTGTGCCTTTTTTCCATGACAACGCTTTCAACTTTGTACTTGGCTCTGACTATATATTAATGCTAGGATGATCACCGTATCCTAATCTTCCGCGATATTGGCCCAGCTCAAAAGCTCCTCCCATCCCACCTGCGGGTCGACCCCGATGAGGGTCCCGACGATTGGTATCTCAGAGAGCATTTCCGAATATCTCTCAAAGTGTGTATTCTCGATGGTGATATCAGAGAGGATTATCCTTCCTCTTTTGTTCTTCAGACGATGGACGAGCTTGGGTCAATTCGGTTGGCAGTGACGATACGGTCGAGCTGGCGCCGATGACAGATCCTCGATGGCAAACCGTGGTGGGTCAGTCGATCTGGGAGAATGTGTTAGAGACGAGGATGGCAGCGAGCTATGTGCCTTCAGACGAGGAGGAAGCAGATCAGGCTGATAGATAACTGCAATACTATTCTACCATTGAATGTGAATGACAGCCATTAGCAGGCGAGGTCTTCTCAAACACCTTCCTAAATTGCGACGTTTTGGTCATTCTACGTTCGCTCTGATCGATCACGCTCAGCATATATTGTGCAGGCTTACCGTTCCCCTGTGGTATATCGGATAGCGGACTGGATATGGGTTCGATTCCCAGATGGAGGATTGAAAAGCGTTTGAAACTTATTTCAAATTAATTTTCTTACTGGGGATTCGACTTGATGTCGTAGGAGGGACTAGTAATTCTCTCGGCTTCCCTTTGTAGGATTATCGCGTGAGGATTGCTTGACTTCTTTACTCATAACCACCGCCGCACTCCCAGAACTGTTATAGCAGGCGTGATGTTGGCGTCTAATCCCTTACGTTGGGTTCAACTCCCTGTGAGATATTAAACTGGACTTCTATTTGCTTGGAGTCACGCCGATTGACGTACAACCACGGTCCACATGGAGGCGCATTGGATAGTACCCCCTGCACTAGGTTCGACTCCCAGCTGGACGGTGCGCATCGACAAATCAAGCTTTTTATCTAGGCTTTTCCTTTCTAACGAACATCAGATGGAGACTTGTTCATGTTTCTTCCTGGGATTTGCGCATACCCAGCACTTGATGAAAAACAAAGAAGGGGTCGGTCATACGAGAAGAGCCTGACGTCTGCTTTGGGTCGATCTCGGCATTGCGAAGAAGATACAAACTCCTAATACTGCGTGCAGCAAATTCGTTCATCCCACATCCACGGTCCTGAGCACCAACACTTTTTGCAGTGAAATCGCCCTACAGCACGCCCTTGCCTTTTCGAGAGCTGATGGCATGACCCTCTCCCTGATATCATTCAAGTTGGTACGCTCGCCGAATCAACGGAACTTCGATTGGCCTGACGTCCGCTCGAATGTATACGGCTAAGAGAGGAGGTTCGCACCGTGAATATGAGGGTGTTTCGAGAGAGCGAGGATGCTCGCTGAGTGTAGATGTCAGAGTCGGGGAAGGGGCTTGCCTCGCATTCCGCGACCTGTGGTAGTTGGGGACGACGGTGACACGTTAAGTTTGTGGCGGTCCGGGTCGGTTGGGATTCTGGCATGGCCTTCTCAATTGAAATATTGACACGCGGTTGGATTTTGGAATGGGAATGAAAGCATTTAGGGCTATTCAAGTGGGTCAGCGATAGCAAAACGTAAGAGACAAGACGTACTCGGTACCAAGATATCATTGATTCTCTCCCTTGAATGTTCCGTGATTCGCTGGATGTTTGCTACTATCGCCCGTACATCTTAACCTAGCCTCATCCTCAAACGATGCACGAGACGTTACAGGATCAGTGAGCTGTTGCTCCGACTCGGATGAGAGGCATCTAGTGCTCTGGCTAATGCAGTCGGCGCGCAAGAAGTCGCGTAGTCTTCTCAATCGATCCGGGTTTGTCTTTGAGGATGGGGTTGACGATATTATGCAAGGGCCGTTCGAGCCGGTCAGTGATAGTAAAATGTAAGAGAAAAGAAACGTACTCCGTAGCAAGACATCGTTCATCTCTCCTCCTTGAACCTCCCCATGGCTTCGTCGATGTCTACTACCGTCGCCCATGCATCTTATACCCCAAGAGAGTCGACATTGACAGATTGTGAAATTACTGACCTACTCAGACGAGCAATGTTAATCTCGCTCGCTAGTTTGTTTGCCATCCTTGACAAGAGCGACGCTATGGTACTGCGAGGTACACGAATACTCATTCTCTGGTAGTGTATTGGTCATTACGCGTGCTGATGATATTCTCTTCGCACGGAAGCTCGGTTCGAATCCCAGTCAGAGTTCTCTGAGCCAGATGAGTAACCTTTTTTATCCGCCATGCATTCATACCAAACCGCAAGTCCACTGCGTAACTTTTCAGCTAAGCAGTGAGGAGTTGTGCATTTTGAAAACCAGTATACTAATTCCACCGCCGGAGGAGAACACTGGCAGACGTTGGCTGGATGGCGGGGCAGAGAACGTAGATCAAAGATGTCAAAGGGAGACTCTGGTATTATTTATTCAATCGGAAATGACAGCGAAGAAGCTGGGGTTGTGGCGAATAACGCCTGTGTCGGCCATCATGTAGAAGCCGTTGAAGATATTAGGCGACGTTTGGGTTGGTGCGCCCGTATTGGTGTGTTTCCCGGTCAAAAGGCAAAATAATCCCGGGCCCGTTTGTTTCTCTTCCTTGGAATCGCCAGGGCACTATATCAAAGACTCGTCCCCTTTCACACGCTCCGCTCTGGGTACCAGTACCGCGACAGATATCCATCATTCACGACTTGTGTTCCAACGCATATCGCCATTCTCTGTCCCTAGTTCCTGCTTGCTTTCAATGCATCCAACTTGCCGTGTCGAAGAAACACTGCTGGTCCAGTTTTTCTTCTCACTCTGTTCATTTTGGCGCCTCAAGTCATGGAGACATTGGCACTGACATATACGTACATGCAATTGAACTTCCGAGTCGCTCATCGAATACAGGACCACCAAGATGGAGGGTGGAGATGTATACGGCAAACCATTGATAGCGTGCATGCAAACATGGCAAATTTGTCACTACATCCTGTCCTGAGCGCCAACCCCAAGTCAATGTGATTGCGATCATGCTGCTCTCGTCTTCAAAGCCTCACTGGACTTTCGGGAGCGGAGTACAATCAGGGAACATGCCTCTTGCCGAGGAGTCTCGGAGTTGGTACACCCGCTAAATCCAACAACGCTTGCAGCATCCTCCGCTTGGTCTCAGCGTCGACACCTGCCAACGGCATCCTTCATATCCGCTGGCATGTGTACGGTCCAGAGAGGACGACCGCGACTTTGATACAAGGGGGAGTACAGGGCGAGGATGGTGAACATGTTGTATTTATCGCTTCCGAGTATGTAAATGCCAGAACCAGGGAGGTTCTCCACGACCCATTGGATTGCATCGGGCCACGTCCTATGCCAAAACGTCGGCGGCGAAGTCAAGGTTATAGTAGATGACGGACGCGGCGCCAAGCTGCTTCGTTCACCCCTACTTGATGCCCTGCCCGCAAACACCAAGTACGCCTGACACGCTCCTGCCTGGGAATGTCCCTCGCGCCGATTTGGCACTCTCGTCGAATCCAACAACGCCAGCGGAACCCTCTGCCTGGCGGATCTGCTCGAATGTATACGGCCCAGAGGAGGGCGGCGCCTCTGATACGGGGGAGTACAGGTCGGGGAATGACGGGACCACGGCGATGAACGTTTTGAGGTATGATGATAGATGTGAGGGCGGGAAGCGTGCATGTGCCCATGTGGCAGCCACCGCCATGAGCAGACAGGATCAGCGTGTCGAATGTGGAGTGGGAGGAGGGCCCTAAGGAAGTCAGTTATACCAAGATGTAAGAGACAAAACGCACTCGGCAGCAAGACACCGTCGATTTTTCTCCCCTAGATCCGTGCGACTTTGTCCATGTTTGGTGGGATGATTAGTGAGCGCCTGAGTGTAGCCTGACTCGCATGAGAGGTGTCGAGAGCTCCGTAATCACCAGCTAGCAAGAAACATGGAGTATCGGGGTGAGATGACGCGAATGTGGAATCCAGCAGAAGCTTACATAAGTATCATGGAATTTTACTGATCACGTTACCGTTTCAGTGTGCACTGTGGAACTGCTCCGTTTTTGGAACCAGCAACTACCACATTATATGGCAAATTCATGCACTTCTGGCTCTGGCCCCTCTGACTCGGAAACTCGTTCAAGCATCCCTGATGACAGAATTGCACCTGAAATGTTCTGGGTAAAACACCAGCCCTTCTTGGCGAGCTCGGGCTATATGTTACGGCCTCGGTACCATCCAAACTGGACTCCTTCTTGGATCAGGAAAGACGGAACAACTCGATGGAGATTCCGTGCCTCTTTTGAGGACGAACACTCTACTTGTAAGGAAGTCTTGCTTTTGAATTGTCAGGCTGACCTCGCTCCAGACACCGCGTGTCCTGGATGCCGCACGAATGAAAGACAGAGCCAAAGTTGTCATCCGTATCACACGCGCAGACAGAGCCGAACTCTCCATAGCAACGCGTCTTTGCAGCTCCGATGAACCACGAAATCACACTGTTCTAATCCTCGATGTCATACCTATCCCGGATGATGATGACCGGCGCGTATTCATGGTCATGCCGATGCTGAAGCTGTTCCATGAACCCGAATTCCATTGCCGGTCTGAGTTCGTGGATGCTTTTCGTCAGCTGTTAGAGGCAGGGCCTATACGTCACTATGTAACACACATCCGTCGTCTGATTTTTTACTTGCAGGGTCTTGATTTCATGCACAGTCTCAATGTCGCTCACGGGTCAGTTCAACGAAGTTATCATTCGCTCCCTTTTGAGCTTGGTGTTCCCGTAGCGATGTGATCCCGCTCAACTTCCTCATGGACTCCTCAAAAGTCTGCCCCAAAGGGTACCACTACGCCTCTGAAACAAGTTATGATGGCGTTCACTGGACCCTCCCCGTTCGTCCTCGATGTCGCGTTGGCCCAGTCCAGTACTACATCATCGATTTCGAAAGTGCCCAAGAGTACCCCGCAGGCAAGGAAAACGCCCTAACAACTCGAAATCTCCGCTGCGGTATACGCTCATCGCCAGAGTTCTCTCTCGGCGAACCGTGCAGGTACCCATTCAAGTTGGACGTGTACAACGCAGGTGCTACGTTCTTTGAACTTTGCGAGGTAATATTTCTCCCCATCCTTACGGTGTTGCTTACTCTTGCCATTAGGGATATCAAGGATTGGATGACTTCAAGCCTCTTGCTTGATATGATGTCCGAGGATCCGCTCGCCAGGCCTGATATAGAAGATGCTCTCCGGAGGCTTGATAATCTCGTGTCTTTGAACGACAAACTTTGGCTACGTGGCAAGATCTGGAGGCTTTGTGCGTGGGTAAAGCCTCCTTCGCATTTAATCCAGTATCTGCGGCGAAAGTTCCCAGTTCTTCTTCCGTACTTCTGATGTAACCACTCTTACCCTCGCGATTAGGATTTTCGAATGTGAAGTTAGATGGTATCATTATGTGGATGAGCCAAGTACGTGGTAGCAGCATAATTTACAGAATGTAGGAGACAAAACGCACTCGGCAGCAAGATTTCTCTCACTTGGATCTGTTCATGTTTGGCTTGGATATTCACCGAGTGATAGGTGAGCACTTGAGAAATGCTCCGTCCTCAAGAAATGCGGAGTATCGGGGTCAGCCGAGATTGTCAGCGTGGAGTCCATTCGAAACGAGCACGAGAAGAAACTTAAAATTCTGGAACCATTCTCACGAGTCACCGTTCCCAAGTATCTGTGCGAAGACAATATCAACGTCTCCGTTGGTTATATAAAATTACCTACACCTCCATTTCATCTCTAGTTGTTCCCTCTTCAAGTTTAGGGTCTAATCCCTCAACTAAACAAGACTCTTAGGTGCGTGCAAGGGTTCGACTCCCCGCGAAACAATCACCTTGATTTCTAGTTCACAGTGTTTTGGTTCTTTTTGTACTGTGTTCCGTTACGAGGTACCTTTGAAAAAGGCTACGCACAATCTTGTCTTCCGTACCACAGCGCCAACGTAGTATCTTCCGGATTCTCAAGAGCTTTCAAACATTCTTATTGTCTACTTCTATCCAAAGTATCATCGTCGGCGGGTGGCTAATCGCGACAGGACCCTAGGTGCAAGATTCCGAGCCGTCGATCCATCTGTGGTTGAAGAATGTCATTTTTCCAAGAGCCGCCTCACTCTCCCTGCACATCCTGTTCCATCGGTTAGGATGCGTGTGCCTCAGTTCGCCTTTGGCACAAGGGCTTGGTTCGACTCCCAGCCGCAGAGCGATCTCTCAATGAAGGAAGTGCTTTTTTGCTGCCAGGTGCTAGCACTAGGATTTCGGTGCAGTATCTATTATTCGCTGAAGAACATGGCCAGAAACGTGAATTTAAGATGGATGGTACGAAGGAGCGGGGACATCATGCAGAGGTTGTCGAAGAGGGTATGGCACGGGAGGCATATCACGCCTGTGACGGTTGGTACGCTTCCATATTGGTATGCCGAAGCATAGAATTCGGTCATACGAGTCCTCATTTTTGGGATATGGGCATTATAATGTACGGGCATCGGTATCCATGCAGTTAACCTTTGCTCATCGAATACAGGACCATCGTGTTGAACGACGCACATGTATGCGACAGAAAAATGCCAACCGCCTAAGAAAATGGCGAATTTGGCACCAGCATTCACGCTGGGTGGCTTCTGCCAATCCTCGCCCTGCCCAGTACCGAGCACCGACACCAAGCTAAGCTCCTTTTTGACACATTCACCGTACGACACGCCTCCGGCACTCGAGACCTCGCTGAATTCCTCCAGACAGCTCTCCGGCCGATACCCTTCGAGTTGGTAGGCTCGCGGTATCCACCAACGCCAGTGGAATCCTCTGCTTGGCCTCGGTGTAGTACAACCCCATATCCACTGGCTACATGTGCCGTCCAGAGAGGAGGACCGAACTTTTGGTACCAGGGTACAGGGTGGGGGAGAACAGCTCCGTAAGAGCGAGGATGGATGTGTTTATTGCTTCTGCCGAATGATGCAGATTTTAGAGTCAGGGAAGGGGAGATTATACACAACGACCTGTTGCATCGCATCCCGAACTTCCTGAGCTGTGCCAGGGAATCGGACACCCGAGTCGACGAGGCGGTAGTCGGTGGCAACGGCGATGAACCCGCGAGTGGCTGTAAAGGAACCGAGATTGCGGTCGGGGCGGGTAGCGTGCCTGCACCCATGTAGAACCCGCTGCTGTATGAGAAGACGAAGATC